GCAGGAAAACCAGTTGACCCAACCTGCTACAGCCCAGAGAGATAGCCCAGAGATATTTCCAAGGCGAAGGGTCACTAACGGACACGCAGCCAGCTGGAGGTTGACTCTCAGTGACGAAAAACACAGACAGTTATGCCTCGTTGCCCAGACTCAGCCCCTCACGCTCTCTGAGCCTGTGGCCACCACATCCACCCTCTGACAGCCTGGTCCAGAGCAGTGGCTGTGAGGCTGTGAAAGTCCGACTCCTGCTCTGGTTTAGTGGCCATGTCACAATGGACCAGTCACTTAACTGTGCAGAGCAGCTGAGCAAAATGACGGTAACAGAGCCTGCCCTGCTTCTCCCAGGTTGCCTTGGGAGCATGATGTGTGGGAAGCGTTTTCAAACCAGATACGCCCCCCACGGGCAAACCCAAGGGGTTCCTATTTATCCTGGAAGCAACCCACAGATTTTGCTGCTTTCCCCAGCCCTGGGTTATTAGCAAGACAGGGAGGTTGCATGAGTTATAAATATCCGTATGTACACATACCTTAAATACCTCATTGGATACTCTGAATACATTCGGCAATCTGGATTTTTTTTTCTCCCTCACTTTTTTCCTCCATTAACCAAGTGTGTTAACTCATGGCTTGCATCGATTTTCACTGAAGATGCATTAGACGCTACGCGATTGCCTGGTAGTGTCCATTGACCTATATGATAAGAGAAGAACATGAGTTTTGAGGCTAGGAGGAAGGAGGCTGTTCCCATCTTTCCCTCCCTGACCTAAAAAGAAATCTCTGAGTTAACTGTCGGCTCTTCTTCAGTGACTGCATTTGGCGCAGGTCATTTCAATTTCGAGGTATCTTGTTTTCAGATTTTTGTTCTCTTCTGTGTGTGTGTTTTTTATAGCCTTGTATTATTCAGATGAATATTCAGTTTTGTTCATTTGAATAAAAGAGGGAAAAAAAGGTTTGACTCTTAAATGCTTATCTCTTAAATCGAGCTTACTTGTTCGTTTCCAAGAATAGCTTCATTCACGAGAAGGCTAGAATTTTATTTTTAAATGCTCTCTGTCAACTGCTACCCTATTTACGTCCATTTTTAAATCCCTCTGTGTTTGGGGCTAACCTTTCCACAACCTTCCTATCAGCTTTGCTGAGTCCTGGAGCTCCTTCCATGGTGGGGTGCAGTTTAGGTGGGGCCGTGGCTGAGAGGCTAGGCAGGTGTCATTTTGCTGATGACAAGTGAGAAAGGTGGCTTGGATGATTAGTCTGTAGTCCCTCAGGTTTTAGCCCTTTGACGCCCCGTACCCCATCATTGTCAGTCCCTGGGCTTCTCTGCCTTTGGAATGGTGGCTTGAGTGAATTTACCGAGGGAGCTCTTTGGCTCCAAGGCCAAGATGAGATGAGAAACATTAGGATGTTTGTGGGAGCCTCCCGAAGGGCCTCGATGGAGTGTGAGCCCTCCTAGACCTTTCCCCAGCAGGGAGCAGAGCAGGACACCCGGCTCTGCTCTTAGAGGTTCAGAGAGGGGAAGGGACTCTCCGTAGCTCATGAATTCCTTACTTTTGAAAGAGGAACATCGTGTTTCTTGTGCCCAGCTGCTGTGCCTCGGTTTGATGAGTCTTCTTGAGCTTGATTTCTGATTCTCCCTGGGACCCATTTTTGGAAAAATAGGGGGAAGGTAAATAATCACCACTTCCCTGAGCCTCATGTTGAGTCCGGACGTTCCGCGGGTCATTGAGAAGACTGTGATGCCTTGGAAGCGTAATGCTGAGTGACGTAAGCGAACACAGAAGGACAGGACGTGTGTTGTGTCACTCCGCTTAAGTGGGGTACCTCGCATAGGCAAATTTGGAGAGGCAGAGTGTAGGATAGAGGTTACCAGGGGCTGGTGGGAGGAGGAAACACTGAGTTTAATGGGGCCAGGGTTCAGTTAGAGATGATGAAAAGTTCTGGAGAGGGACCGTGGTGACGGTACACCCCAAAGTGTTAAGGTGGTCAACTTTATGTTATGTATATCTTATCACAATAAAAATAAATAGTTCAAAAACGAAAAAGATTACGATGCCAAAGAGTTCTCTCCATCACCCGATCCATCGTAAATCTCTGCCTCCTCTCGTTTTGTCCTTCACTCCTGTTGTGGGGGGAGGGGGGGCCTGTTTGTCACCAAGTTACTCATTCATTGTAAATGATAATGCACCTGTGAGATAAAAAATGATTATACGTTAAGGAAAAGCACTTATTGATAATTAAGTGTTTCATTTCTTCTTTGCTTTTCTCAAATGGAATAAATAAATATTTTAGACATAATCAAGTTTGTTTTCTCTCTTCGAGCCAAACAGACAGGGATGTTGAAATGATATAGATCTGTAAAATACTGCAAATGAGTCCTGACATCGCCGAATTGTTATGCATCCAGGGTACATGGGCTTGAAATCCTGGCTATCTCCTTTAATCAGGAAAATCATCTTTGTGATATACGCATTTTGAGTCCTGTTGGGTTAGGGAAAGGCCCAGCGGGGGAGAATAGCAGAGTCAGAATTTGAAATGATGCAGCACATCCTGCCCCACCCTGCCCAGTGCTGTGGTCTGCATTCTAATTCCTGTCTCTTAGTTCTGTCACCCTTCCTCCTGGCTCTGACTGGTGGCATGGAGTGGGACATGAGGACAGTACTGAGTCCTGAGGTGTGGAGTCTGGAGTTCCAACAGTGATTTGCACAGAGGACCAGGGAGGACTTGGGGTACAGCAGAATGACCGCTTCTGTGGCGGGGAACTCAACCTTGGCCTCACGGTGACTTGACTCACCCAGGCCTCCATTCCAGGGTCAAGTGCACACGCTTCACAGCAAGATGGCCTTAAACTGGCCGTCCTCTGGCATGAGGCACGGTGCCCCTTGCTGGCTCTGACTTTGTGTAGCTAGGGTGGGGTTGCTCATGTGTCCACACTCCCCTGCCCTCTCTGCAGAGTGGAGTGTTTGGCAAGTCAACTGTCCTGGCTGGAGCAGGAAGTGTGGGGCCTGCAAGTGTGATCGAAACTGTAAGCTGTGGCTGCCCCACCCTACCACAGACTTGGTGGCTTAGAAAAGCAGAAACTTATTCTCCTGTGGTTCTGGAGTCCAGGGCTGCATTCCTCCCTAGAGGTTCTGGAGGGTGATCGTCCTTTGCTTCCTCCTGCTTTTGGTGGCTCCAAGAGTTCCTCGGCTTGTGGATGCATCACTCCATCTCTGCCTACCACTGTCTTTTCCACACCACAAACTTCTCTCTCCTTTCTCTTGTAAGGGCACTTATTATTGGATTATCCTAAGTCTAGGATAATCTCCTCTTGGAGTCCTTAACTTACTTACATTTGTGAAAACTCTTTTTCCAAAAAAGGTCGCCTTCCTAGGTTCCAGGGTTAGGGTATAGGCGTGTATTTGGAAGGCTACTATTCAACCTGCCATATTCACCTTAATTAGCGGTGACTATAGGGGTAAAAACTGGCCCATTGTGGATTTTTTATTCAGAAGGTGCTTCATAAGTCCCTTTGGGACTAGGCCAAAGGGTTGGCCTTCAAAGAGCGATGAGACCAGAATGACCCACAGGCTAGAAGTGAGGGTCATGAAGGAGGGATGAGGTCTGTCCAGATGAGAGACTCCCTGAGCTCTCTCCTCTGACTCAGGTGTTTTAGAGAGTGAATTGTGCACGAAGAGGGCACTATCCTATTGATCTCCAGACCCTCCACGAAGTGGAACCCAGGTGGGAGCCTGTGGATGTGGCAGGAAGCTGAATCGCTGTTGAGGCTATGCAGAGATGCAGGTGCATTAGCAAGACGCTCAGACCCCAGAGGAGAACAGTGGCCTCTGAGTTCGTCCCTCAGTGTGTGTTAGGGGCTCCGTTTTATCCTGGGGGCCCAGAGAGAGTGAGGCCCCAGCCATGCCTTCTTCCAGGGCACTCTGGCTTGCAGCCAGTACTGGCTGATCCGATGTCCGCTGAAGTGTGTCTCACCAACTTAATTTGCAATGCAAAAATTGAGGTTGGTGAGGGAAAGGGGTCCCCAGGAGTAGACACAGACTCGATGCACAGTTGGAACTGGAACCCAGGTCGCCTGCCTCCTCTTCAGTGTCCCCACACACACCATCGGTGTCCCCTCAGTGTGCTAGCACTAACGTTGCAGCTGCTCCATCCAGGGTGGGGTGTGGCCCTTCGTGTGGCTCTGCGTGGTGAAACCATGCTCTCCATGTGGGGGCACAGATGGGGCTGCCTGCAGGAAACGCTGTCGGGGGTGGGAGGAGAAGAAAGAAAAGGGGCAGGAGGGTAGGGAGAGGAACTCGGGATGCTGAGCAGCGGTCGCCTGCCAAAATTCTTCAGTGCAGCCTGTCTAGCAAAGCCGGTCTCCAGCCGAGTAAATACAGTGCATAGCTGACGGGCTGACAGCAGGCATCAAACAGTCTTAAACTGCCCCAAATCCACAGCGCTTTTGAAGCAGCGGTAGAAAAAGGATGCCCGCACAGAACAGAGGCCTGGAACTTTTAATAGTTTCTTCCAGGCCTCAGGATGTCCTGATGAGGTATTAGAGGAAGTAATTCAGGAAGAAAAGGACAAATAACCGCCTCCGTCTGGAGGCCGACCCGAGGGCTGGCCATTCCGGCTCGCAGAAAGGGCAAGCGTGGCCCGGCAGTGATCCACGAGGCCCCCCTCAGCCCACTCGCCTGCCTCGGCGCAGGCAGCCGCGGGGCTCTGACCCTTGTCAATAACAGACAAGTAAATTTCTTGTTTGCTTCGGGGCAGATATAAACCACACAGTGCCCGCTGCATGTGGGTGAAATCATTAACTTTTCCTCACTGTTGGAAGGGTGCTCCGTACAAATTAGGAATCATTGCCTCAACCACAAGGCCCTCCCAGGGAGCCGCCCACCTCCCCTTCCCCTCCCCATCCAGAGCCTGTCAAGACCGCAGGACGTCAAAGAAAAACGTGCACGCCTGTCGGATCCGAACTCACCCCTCCTCTTTCTGTTTTCTCTTTTCCCTTTTCCCTTTAGGGTTTGGCTTTGTCACTTTTGAGAACGAAGACGTTGTGGAGAAAGTCTGTGAGATTCATTTCCATGAAATCAATAATAAAATGGTAAGTCTGTGGGGGGTTGCCCTGAAATGGGATGTTTGACCCTCCCATCCAGGTGGGACCTTCAGAAAGTTCATGGAAAGTGTGTGTTATGAAAAATTACGCACGGATTTCAATTTTTTTTTTTGCACCCAAAGAAATTCATACTTCAGTTCCATGTTCCTGTTAACGTTTGGAAGTCCCCCGGTGCACACCTCTGTCTTGCAGACTGCTTTAGTCTCCATCATGGTGCGCAGGGTGGGCTTAGGGACTAGACGCTCAGGGTTCAGCGCTGTGACCAAGAGCAGTCATTGGGAAGAGAGAATGACAAACTCTATCAAGGGCCAGATTTTTAGTAAAAATGTTCACCTTTGGAGGCCACACAGCTGACGGTGACAGCTGCTCATGTCTTCTGCTGTGGTGGCCCAGAGACATCATAGGCCATCCATGCATGAATGAATGCATGTGTTTCAGTCTGTCTGTTTGTGTCCACTGAATTTGGAATTTTACAGAATTTTCACCTGTGGAATACTATATTTTAATTGTTTAAAAATGTAAAAATCATGTTTAACTCTTGAACTTTACAGGCAGTAGGGATGGAAGGGAGGGTAGATTTGGCCTGAGTCATAGTTTATGGACCCCTGGTTTAAGATGTGCTTTGGCTGTTTGGCTTTTGTGGGGTATTTCCCATAATAGATAGGAAGTTTGTCACACCAAACTCATTCTCTCAGTGGGCCCTGCTGCGTAATTAACATTCCCTCCTTGCAATCAATTAGTTTCTACCCTCATGATCAGCTGCTTTCTTTCCTCCCTTTGGCTCTTTGAAGTTCCTTTTCCTGCCAAAGCAGCCTCCAGGGGAAGGGGGAGGTTAGATCACTGGAAGTTTGGGGAGCCAGGTAGGCTTTCCGAACAAACGGCCACCAGAGGGCGCCATACCACGTGCAGCTTGTGCATACTTGCTTGAAGTTGCAAACTCCTTTCTTATGACTGAGGTGGGGGGCGGGGGTTGAGGAGCCTCTTTGTTGGCTCCAGAAAAATGGGAGCTCAGCAGGTGTTTCTGGAGACATCAGCAGATCCTTTAGAGCAAAAACATTTTGGTTGGCCAGCAGAGAGCCTTTAGCTCCAAGAGAAGAAGGAGGGCAAATCTGTGTTTCAATCGCAGCTGTAACTTTGATATTTTCTTCCTTTTGTCAAAACATTCCTTGCTTGTGAAACATGCATTCAGATATGCATTGTATATTGGTCTGATATGTGTTCACCAACTTTAAATTCAATAATAGAGCTTTTAGTGTGGATAAGATCAAAGCAATCTGCTTAGCATGTGGTGCTACAGGCCTGATTCAATATTTGACTTGCTAATTTTTTCCCAGGGCACTAAAATAATATTGTTCATATTGTTCCTAGTCATCATATGCATCTGAAATGAAAAAC